CAGAACGTGGTAACTGGCGACGCTTGGGCGGCAAATGCAACTGCCTCCCGACTAAGTGTATCGTAAGTCATGCCCTGCTGATTCTTCTTCTCGAAGAAGTGTCCCTGAATATTTTCAGGCAGGGCGCGGTAGAAGAGGTTAAGGAGTTGCACATCAGTGACTCCATGCCCAGGGACCGCAATCAGTTCGTCCATAGCGGACTTTAGCGCATGCACACTCTTCCATTGGCGAGTGTGGATCATTTGGAGTTTGTCTGAGGCCTTAAGGCCCCGCGTGACATCAGAAAATCGCTCCCTGAGGGCTTTCAGGAAGTCGGAGAGGGGTGTCAGTCTGGAGTATGTAACCATATCGTTATCGCAGTTGGCAGCGCGGGCTAGCGACCTAGCAAAGCTAGTTGCTTCGTCTCTAAGGGCCTGGAAGGCCACCAAAGTGTGGTCTTCAGGTGTGACTCCCTGCAGATACAGATATGAGTGCACATTGGCCTCCCAGTTATCAAAATCTTCACCCTTCTTCTCACTGAAGGGTTCGGGGAAATCGGACCTTGACTTTCTCGGGACGTGGTGGGGCCGGCTCCTCTTCCTTAGGGGCCGCTAGCTTGGCGCCTTCAATGGCGCCAGTACAAAACTCTTGGGTCCTATTAATCGCAATGTGCACTTCGGTCAGCAGGTGTTTCATCATGTCGCACGCGAAGTCCTTGAACCCCGCGCGTATCGCGTCTATCTTGATGTCTTGACTGCGTTCGTACTGCATTTGTTCCCGCTGTGCGACTAATAAAGCCTCTACACTTTGGATCAGCGTATCTGACTTGGTTGCTAGCTCAGTCTCCGCTCGGATCTTCCCCATCCTAACTTCCGACGCTCTTAGGTCCTTGTCCGCCCTCTCTGCCGCTTCCAATCTCCTGACCCTTTCTTGGGATAACCGGTATCTCCACGCCATCCGCTGTTCCTCCTCCTTTGCCCCTCTCTTTACTGGATCCCTCTCTGCTTCAATTTGCCTCCTGGCTGCTTCTGTTTCTTCCTCGGGTACAGCCATCTCAGCCTCCTTGTCTTCCCCTAACTTCAAATGTGCGGCCCACTCCTGCGCCCTTTCCGCAATCTCCACTTCTTTACTTGTGCTTCCTCCTCCTCTTCTCCTCTCCAGCGGTCTTTCTTCTTCTTCTTCCACTTCTTCTTTTTCTTCTTCTTCTTCCACCTGAATAGCTGCCATCTTCTCCTCCTGCTCCTTCTTCCATCTTTCCATCTCCTCCTCCATCTGCCTCTTCTTTGCTTCCTGCTCCTCCAGCAGCGCCAACATCTTAGCCTGTCTGATTAGTTCCCTCTTCTCCATCTTCTCTTTCTTCTCACGCAGAAGGGCGGCAGCTCTCTCCTCCTGCTCTTTGCTGTAGGGGGTGGTAACGGTTCCGGATCTAAGGGTCACCATGTTGACAGCGCACAATTAACAACAGTTCCACACCTCAACACTTAGACCGAACAGGTTACTTCTACTTCGGGGATTTGGTTCACTACCCGAACTGAACTCGCGGTTCTATGACCACACTCACAGAGTCCTAACACCCTAGACAGTAGTGACAGGGAGATAGGACTGACTGTCCTTGACAGACTCTATGCCAGCAAGTACCSGGGTGAAGGTACACACTCATGGGGTAAGGGATAGGCCAGGCTTGGAAAGATAGTACCGTTTGTCTTCTTGCTCCAGCTGGGTCAATGCTCCGTCAACGGACTTGGTCAACTTCGCCGGTCAACGCTCCTGGTCAATGCGCTAGGCAGCTCCGGTCAATGCTCAGTCAACGCCCTAGACAGCCCGGTCAACACTGGTCAATGCCTGGTCAACACCCGTGGTCAACCTCGGTCAACATCTGGTCAACTCTCCCGGTCAACCTTCTGACCTCCCGGCTATGGTGGACCTCCTTCTCCTTCACCTCAGCTATAGCTGATCTTGTCTCCCTCTTCGTCACTGTCTTCTTCCTTTCTTCTCTCTGCGTCTCTTCTTTCTCCCTTTTTGATGTTGGTCTTCTTCCACGAACTCGGCAGCTATGGCTACTGTCCCCCTTCCTCTCTCTTCCTCTCTCTCTCTCTCTCTCTTACTATCTCTCTCTCTCTCTCTGCCAAGCTCCGGCTATGGCGGCTTCTTCCTTCTTCCTTGTGTGCTGCAGCTCCGCCGGCGTGGACAACGGGTACCTGCTCCGATACCAGTGCAATTAGACTCAACTCTGGACTTGCTCACAACATGCACACTTGAGAACCGATGGCAAGACTGAACTCTTTCAACTCAAAAAAACAACAATGAACTTGTCT